AGTCAACTAAAAAATAATCACCTTAGAAAGTTAAAAACAAAAATGCCTGATTTGAAAATTGTATAGGAAAAAAACTAACCCTGTTCATTATTATTTGGAAAATAAATCCTCTATGTTTTGCAAATATCATGAATGGTCATTTTACTTACAAATGTGTCCTGAAAATTTACTACTTTTCTTTCCATCAATTTATCCTTGAATTCTCTGAAAATTTAAAAAGTAAAGCTAGTAAGTGAACAGAAGCAAAAGTAAAATTTAGTTGAGTTACACTACAAATTGTTTAAACATTATCTTACCTCCATGTCCTCTCAACCTTAAAAATAACAACTAATGTTATTACTTAAAAAAAGTCAGTGGGGCGCCTGGGTGGCTCAGTCAGTTAAGTGGCTGCCTTCAGCTCAGTTCATGATCCCAGGGTCCCTGGATCAAGCTCTAGGTCCCCCAGGGCTCCCTGCTCACTGGGGAGTCTGCTTCTCCCTCTGCCCCTGCCCCACACCCTCCCCTTGCAGGAGCACGTGTGTGTGTGTGTGTGTGTGTGCGCGCGCGCACGCGCGCGCCCGCTCTCTCTCTGAAATAAATAAAATCTCAAAAAAAAACAAAAAAAAAAAAAGGAAAAGGTTCCACTTCCTGGATTTAAGACCTCAAGGACAAATCTGTAGGAAAGATGTCTCAAGCTCGAAGAACGGATGCGTCACCTCGGGGACCATGTGGACATTAAGTGGCCGTGGTAACACTGGTATCTCGCGCTGTAGAAACGAAGCTATGCTCCTTCTCCGACGCACAACGCTGGCACCACAAAACTGTTTCATATTTACGACACCAGAAAGAGCCTCAGAGGAATTCCAGGGCGGGGAAACCGGGAACCCTGGGCTGTGTTTCAGGGGTGGGGGCGACGACTCCCGCGGATGGGGCTCCGGGGTGGGATTGGAACGTTCGCACCCCTGCCCCCGCCGTGCAGGGCGAGTCGTCCACCAGGGGAGGGCTCCGTCCACCCCGCGGGCTGGGCTGCGAAATGAGGGTTCGAGGGAGGCTTCTCTTTCTCTCAGGGGCGGCGGCGAACATTAAAATTCACGGAAAGCGCCCCGAGCAGCTCCTGTTAGAGCCCCGCGCCCGGGATAAGCACTCGGCGGTCTCTTCTCCCCGGGATTACTGTTCTGCTGCAGGAAGGTGCCACGGACCTGAAGCCTCTAACATCTAGTCTGGGCTTCGGGATCTCCACCCGTGTTTTAACTCTGAGATTCTGTTGCTGCCACAAAGTGTCACACACACTTGGTGAAGCACAGGTGTGCTCTAGGGAACCGGACAGAACACGTCTGATGCTGAATTCGGAGTCAGGCGTTCCGACAGCGTTGACGAGGTGTACAGATGCTGAGGACCTGACGGGCGGTGTCACAGGGCTGCCGGAGGGCTGGGGGGGGGACCCGCCAGCGCAGCAGGAGCTCAGACACCTGACGGCACACACCGACCGACCTTGCTGCTGAGAAAACCAACATTCATCTGAGCATCTTGCAATGCCTCTTAGTAAACATTTCATGATGATAAAAAGTACATATTCAGGGCAAAGGTTTATTGACACAGCGCAAAAGTATGTCAGGTTCTACATGTACACAGTTTGTTTTTACTTGAAAAAGATACCTGATTGAAGTATTAATAACCATTAAAAACAAGTAAATTCATACAATTAATTATAAATTCTGCTGAAACAAAATTTCAATTTAGATTAAATTGACCTTGAGAATTATAATAAAGTTTTACTTAATTGCAAAACAACTCCGTTCACACAGCATTCTGTTTTTCATAAATCCTGACCTCCTACCCAAGAAAATGCAGCCTTTTGGGTAATATTTGTGTAAACATCAAAGCCTATAATACACATTTTTATTATCCATTCCTGTAGTTATTAATACAAAAAGTTAATAAACTTGCACGACGAAGTGTAAAAGTGGGTACAGCCCCCTTGGGGGGCAGCAGCGTCACTGCTGAACCTCCACCCCGCTCCAGCAGCACGAGCGTCACGGTCCAATCCCTACATACACCAACTAAGCTACTTGTCAACATAGGAAAGTTACACGCGGTATTACAGCTCTGCCTACAGCAAGCACCAGTTTCCTACCAAGTCCGGCATCAGGTGCACTCCATAAGATGTATGCTAAGGCAAAGAGATCAGCAAAGTGAGATAAAACCAGTACCAGAAAGACTGAAAAAGAGTTGCTTCCACGATTGAGAACATAAGGTACAAAACGTGCTGCACGAAGCTGCGTGACCTCTGACAGCCACGTGTCATTTCTGATTTATGCAGATTAAAATTTTTGTCCCTGCAGAAGGTCACGAAGAGTACACTGATGGACAACATCCGGGCTGGTTAGTTTTTTTTAAAATTTGATTTCTCACCAAGGGCAAAAATACCATACCACCTGACTGCCACGAAGAGGGCTCAGAAATCGCTCAGCCATCAGGACCGAGCAGAGCATGAGAGCTCCCTGTCCTAATGCCGCAACACTTGCATGGAACAGCTCAGCGTTTGAAAATGGCTTGGACGCACAGAACTGCCTTCCAGGAAAACCCATTTCAGAAAGCAAACCTGAGCTACGGGAATTGAGAATCAGGGCCCAGCAGTCATCATGCAATCACAGATAAAAAGGTCAAGTCTCCTAACCATTATCATGATACACTTTTATAAAAAGGTATAAAACTTCAAAGGAGGAAGAGTGTTTTCTTAAAAACAAAACAAGAAAACAAAATAAAACAAACAAAAAAAAGAAAGCTCAGTCTGTTAGATAAAAGATGAAAGGTTACTGCTGCTCCACTACTGGCTTCTGGTCCTCTTTCTGATCTGTGTGGGTCACACGTCATCCAGAGTCTGGGCAGGAACCACGGACTTCTCTGAAGAGCAGGGAGCGAACTTATCAAGTAAACAACCCACTCACTTCCTTGAAGACGCAATTATGGCCACGTAGGAAGCACTGATCTCTGACTGCTTCTGCACGCCTGCGAGGACGGCGGAGCTCCCACAGGCCACTGCTGTCCCCGTGGACAGCTGTTGTCCCCACGCAGCCCTTCATGGCACTTACAGATCTCCGGCAAAGCTGGCCGGACTTCTTGTGTGTAAATTGGTAGGAAAGAAAGAGTTAACTGTTGATTTTGGGCGAGACAACATTAAAACACTGAGGCATAAAAGAACAATAATTATTTTTTACATGACTTCTGAAACTTTTTGCAGTCATTATTTTAAAAAACAAAAACATCAGAAAGGGGAATACCACGGGTTGAGTGAGGAGCGCTCTCTGTTTGAACGTCACACACGCAAAAGCTAACTTCAGCTTCCGAGGAACAAGCTCGTGGTGAGTAGATTGACTGTGAGGGCAGGACTTTGGGAACTTCAGTGGAAGGCGGAGAATTAAAAGGAAACGTGTCTACAAGAACAAAGCTCAAAATCCACCCCCGACAAGCAGGTACTTCCGGTGTACCGATCAGTGGTATTTGCTGCTACTGGTAGATACGGAAGTGACCCGTGCTGTGGGCAAACGAGAACGTTTCACCTCAATTACGGAGGGAAAGGCCAAGCTGCATGAGGACCAGAGGAAACTTCATTTCTGGGAACCATTCTGAAAAGCAAACGGCCTGCAGGTGGGATGTCAAGTCCTCTCACAGGGAAAGTGATTTCTGTAACACCAGAAGGAAATGAAGGTGGCCAAGTTTTGGGGCTATTTCTGGCTCTAATTCGGGTGCCGCCTGAGCACACACCTCTCTAGAGGCCATCCGATCTCCTCAGAGGACGGCAGAACTAGAAAAAACACCTAACTGACAGCTTTAATGCCCCCGGAACGGGGACATAAAAGACTGGATACACAGCGTTTGCTTCAGAAAAACAAAGCCTATTAAAAAATCAAGAAAGGAAAACCGTAACATTCAGTGACAAGTTCATGGTCACTTAGAGTCTTTTTTTTTTTTTTTTTTTGGATGAGGAATGAGGAGACTTTATTTCTCACAACACCTCCCTCCCGTCCCACACGAGAAGTCTGGTTGTCCAGCGGGTCCCCGCGGGGCGCCTCCACGGCCACTCATCCGCTGTTTGCTGCCGGAGCTTGACCACAGGGTTCCACGGTGTCGCCCAGGGAGTCCTGGCTTTCGCAAGTGACGCAGCCCTCCGAGAAAGAACAAGAGTGGGCAGCATGACGTAATGTCATCTGGAAGGATTGAATCCGTAAAATGCCGGCCAGGTAGCTTACGTCTAGTCCCCAGTTTATTCACTGTGTGTCTGAGAGGAGCCCATGTGACAGTTCATTCCTGATTGTTGTGAGAAGGAACAGGACAATTGTTCACACAATTGTTGCTTAAATTACTTTGGGGCTCATTCATTCACTCTCCTATTCAAAAAGCATAAAACTAGTGTTTTAAGAACGAAGACACTTGAAATGAGGAGCAGGCTCAGCTCCTGCTTCTCGGGAAAGCCACATCCAACCAGACGCCGGCTGCGGGATGCGCTCTGTTCTCTAAGGATTGGGGAGGGGGATCCCAGCACCTGTCTACTTCAGCAGCCTTGACACCACACTGTTCTGAACACCCACCTTTCTTCTCTTGCTATAGTTTTTAACTCCTCACATTGTCACCTCCTATATCCACAGCTTGACACTTGAGGGAATAAAGTCCTCATTCCTGGTACAAGTGTCACAACGGTTCCACAGAGCCACCACAGGGGCCACGGGCAAACCAGAGCTCCACTGGCCAGGCCGCTCGCATGCGCTCTCACTGAGAAGATCTCGCTAACAGCCAAAGCCCCCGGGCCTCATGGAAAATCCTGCTAGCTATGAATACTCCCTCGAGTGTGAATGCCCCATCTTGAGTTTTAGCTCCGTTCAAACACACCTGCAGATCTGAAATGCACATCTCTTACTCCTCGCCTCCCGGTCAGCCACACTTCAAAGCAGGGGCCCTGCAGCATTCCAACCAGGAAGCACACTTGCACTCCAAGGACCGGCATTCAAAATCAGGGGGACTGTGCGACCATATATAAATTATTTAATATCTGTACACGATACTTTGCTGCTCATGGGTGAGGTAGAAGCATCTGTGAGGACTGTAATTTTCAGTGGGATGGTGCAATGCATATTAAGTGCCTCAGGCACTGCCTGGCACAGAGAGACATCACACAGGACAGCTGTTGTCACAGTGCTTACTTGGATGTCTATTCCTTGAGGGACAGTCTGGCTCTGAATCCAAGAGTGCACCTTGGCCAGCTCCTCCCTCTGGCTGCGTGAGAACCGGGGCTGCCGCCCCCGCAGGCCCGCCAGCTTCTCCAGGTCCTCTCTCAGTACAGCCTCTGTCACCCTGAGGACAAACGAGCAACCTTAGTCCTGAATAAGGCACAGTGTTCTTCCCTCATCCAAGAAAAGCACTTCTGGGCTTGCAATATATTTTCTAACTCTTGCTAATACATAATGTGCATATTAAAAAATAACCCAATCCACTCTTGGTCAATGGTGAAGCTAGAGCACTTTTTCTTGGTGGAAAGCATCTCACAGCACTCGAGAGGAAACAGATTTCCCTGAGCTCCTCTCTTGCAGAATGCGGAAAAATTCAGAGTCTAGAGAGAGAAGTTCTGGTACTTGTGCGCCCTCTTGGAAGCGCTGTCTGATGGCTTTCTGGTCTCATGATGCACATGTGGGTTCAGTGTGGACCCGAGCGTGTGTGGGGCACTGCTGCTGTGGCCACTGTCCTAGGCCACTCATCATCTGACTTCAAATGAGTGAATGTGAAAATCTGGTTCTCTAAGAGCACGTATAAAAACATAATTTGAAAATCATTTTGTATTAATGAACATACTTAAGAAATCATTAAATAAAACTCATAAAAGTGGGCCTCCTAAAGTGCATTCTTACCTCTCAGGTACCTGGTACGTCATGAGAACGCGCTCAGGAGTTTGCTTTATCATTCTCCACATGGCCTCTTCAGCTAAACCGGGAAATGTTTCCTCTTCCTGTGCGTCCTCAGACTGCTGCCCATTGGAGGTGGTTTCAGGACAACCAGTACTAGAGAAGTCCACACTGCTGTCCCTGCTTCCTGTCACAGATCAGCAACAGCTACAGGTTAGCAGATACCTCTTGGAGGCCGATTTGCCAAACTTCCTCCTCAAAGACTCTGGCCAGCAGCTGACAGTCTGTCCCCACACAGCCCAGCCACGGTCCTGGGTGACCTCACCTCCCAGCTCCTCTGCCTTCCCTAGATCCCCCTGTCACTCCTCCCGTGATGAGTGTGGTCAAGTCCATACCTCGCTCCTTTTCATCATTTGTAGCTGCTCTACATCAGCTCCACCTCCCAATCACTAACCCCCCACTCAGCTTTACTAGCTCGTCTGCTTGTTCGAGTGCACCACGTACAAATCTGAAACCGTGCCTCAGCCCTTCAGCTCAGAGCCCAGTGCCCATCATCCAGTAACGTGCTTTGCAAGATTTCTTCTTCCCTCTGACTTTTCACAACTACCCAAATGTCAATTATAAAGCCAACATGAATTCTATTCTTATGTCAACCCTAGTAGCCAAAGATATGGAGAAAAGTCATATATAATAGGGTATGTTGGTTCATCATCACCAAAAGGATCATCCAGATGCTGGGTAATTCTGCTACGGTCTCTGGCCAGTACGCCAGCCTGCCACAGGCCTCTGCTCCCTCACTCTCTCATCTGTTAGAAACAGGATTCATTATCCTGACACTATTTGTAAGCTTGCTCATATCTACACTCTTTCCTCACTTATTCCTGTTACAGCAGAGAAGCTATCCATCCATCCATCCATCCATAAAGGCCCATCCCTTGATGGCTGCTATGGAGCTTTTCTTTTCTTATCTTGCATCTGATCTTTCTAGATCCTTTTCACCAACTTTGAAATAATAAAACAAACAAAAAAATTCAAAAGTACTAAATTATATGGGTAGACATAAAAGATGTTTTTCCTCATTAAAAAAAAAAAAAAACTCCCTAAAAGATAATTGTTTAAAGCAACAACAGTAACAATTTTATTGTGGAGTTTATAATACATGTAGAAATAATATTTCTTTGTAAGCAAAAAATAGCACAGAACATGAAGGGGAAATGGAAGTACTCTTTTAAGGTTCTTAGACATAAAGTGATGTAATACATATAAGGTCTGAAGGTTAACTATGCTAGATAAAAAATGAACTTGTAAATCCTAGAGTAATGACTAAAAAAGAAAAGATGAGAGGCATAGCTGAGAAGCCAGCAACGGAGAGAAAAAAAAATTATTAAAAATACATAATTATCAAAAAGAAAGAGGGAGGAGGGGGAAAAAAGAGCAGAGGAGAAAAACATAAAATAAGCAGCAAGACGGAAGATTTGATTTACACTTGACCATATAAATAATCACATTAAATGTAAATGGTTTAAGTATTCTAATTAAAAGGCAGGGACCATAATATGAATTAAAAAAATCAACACCCAACCATATGCTGGTTATCAGAAAACAATTTTAAATATACAGATAAGAGAAAAAAAATGGAAAAAATATGCCAGGTAAACACTAACAAAATAAAGCTGGAGTGGATATACAGATATTTAAGTAGATATAAAGCAAAGTATATTCCATTATAAAGAGATCAATTAATCAAAAGGGCCTAACAATCTTGAATGTGTATGTCCCTCATAAAAGCATCAAAATACATGAAGCAAAAACTGAAACATAAGATATAGGCTAATTCAAAACTGTAGTTGGACATTTTAATAGCTCTGTCTAATTAACTGATAAAACAGAAAATCACTTAGAATGCAGAAGACTAGATCAACACTATTAGCTAACTTGATGTGACTTACATTTATAGAAGAGATTTCTTTTGTGAAAAGCACACATGCTTTTCAAGTGCACATGAAACTTTTACCAAAATAGACCAAATACTGGACCGTTAAATAAGTCTCAATGAATTTTTAAAAATATAGACTATGTTTTCTGACTGTAATTAAGTTAGAAACCAATAAAATACCTGGGGCAAGCCCCAAATATTACAAAATTAAAAACATTTTTATAACTCATGGCCAGAAAAAGAAAACATAGAAATTGTAAGATATTTTGGACTGAATGAAAATACATCAAAATTTGAGGAATGTACTCATGTTTAAATGGAAATTAAAAGCATCAATTGTATATATTTAGGAAGGAAAAAAAGAGTACCAAAGCAGTGCTCTAAGGTTAAGAAATCAGAAAAAGAACAAAAAAAACAAAATCCGAGTAAACAGAAGAAAATAATAAGATTAGAGCAGAAATTGGTAAGATACAGAATCAGAAAACAATAGGAAAATAAACCCCAGTAAAACCAAAATCGCTTCTTTGAAAAGTTAATAAAATTGGGAACCACAAGGCCAGAACAATCAGAAGAAAATTAACATTAATAATAAGACAGAAGACATTACTATATATTCTACAGACTTTAAAAGAATAAGGGAATATTATAAACAACTTTATGTCAATAAATTCAACAACTTAGATGAAATGGACAAACTCCTTGAAAGATACAAATCACAAACATCACTCAAAAAGACAGAGATGAACTGAGTAGCCCATATATATAAAAGAAATTAAATTTGTTCCCAAAAACCTTCTCCTAAGAAAACTTCAGGCCCAGACAGCAACACTGGTGACTTCTACCAAATATATAAGGAAGACATAATATCATTTCAATATAAACTCTTCCAGAAAAGAGAAGAGAGGGAACAGTTCTCAACTTATTTTTTAGGTCAGCATCACCCTGATACCAAAACCAGACAAAGATATTACAAGAAAAGAAGACAAAGGGCCAATATTTCCTGTAATAGTGTGATAATCCTTACCAAAATCTTAGAAAGAGAATCCAACAATATATAAAAAGGATAGGGGCGCCTGGGTGGCCCAGTGGGTTGAGCCTCTGCCTTTGGCTTGGGTCATGATCTCAGGGTCCTGGGATCAGCCCCGCATTGGGCTCTCTGCTCAGCAGGGAGCCTGCTTCCCCCCTTCTCTCTCTGCCTGCCTCTCTACCAACTTGTGATCTCCCTCTCTGTCAAATAAATAAATAAATAAATAAATAAAATCTAAAAAAAAAATATATATATATACATATATATATACACATATATATAATATATATCAAATAAATAAATGAAATCTAAAATGTGTGTGTATATATATATTATATCCATATATATAAAGGATAAAATAGCATGACCAAATATAAGGTTTAATATTTGAAAAATAGTATAATTCACTATCTTAACAGAATAAGGGAGAAGAAACATGTAATTACCTCAAAAGATGCAGAAAAATCATCTCAGCAAACTAGCAGTAGAAAAGAATTCCTCAGCTATACTAATAAAAGGCATTTAAGAAAAACCTACATTTAACATCATACTTAATGGTGAAATTCTCCCTGCTTTTCCCCTAAGACTGCTAATAAGATAAAAGTATCAGTCTCACCATTTCTTGTTCAATATTAGGGGTTCTAACAGTCCTAAATAAAGACATACAGATCAGAAAAGAAGAAGTAAGCTGTATTTGCAAACAACAAGACTGCCTGTATAGAAAAGTCCTACAGAATCTACAAAAGATCTACTAAAACTAATGAGTTTAGCAAGATAGCAAAATACAAGCTCAAAATAAAAATTCAATTAGATTTCTATAGGTCAAAAACAAATACTTGGAAATTGAAATTTTACAATGCCCTTACAATAGCATAAAAAAATGAAATCCTTAGGGATAAATTTAGCAAAGTATGTGTAAAACTTGTGCCCTGAAAACTACAAAATGCTGCTGAGAAAAATTAAAAACCTACATAAATAGGAAATACATTATGCTTGTGGATTAGAAGACTCAGTACTATTAGGGTGACAATTCTCTCCAAATTGGTCCACTGATTCAACATGATGTCAATAAATATCCCAGCAGGACTTTCTGTAGAAACTAAGGAACTGATTTTACAATTTATACGGACAAAGGACCTATACTATACAAAATTACTTTGAAAATAAGAATAAAGTTGGAAGAATTACTCAGATTTCAAAACTTATCTGAAAGCTCTATTACTCAAAAGAATATGGTATTATCATAAAGCTGGCCATAAAGATAAACAGAACAGAAAAGAGAGTCTACAAATGGACCCAACCTGTATGGCCAATTTATCTTCAATAAAGGTGCCAAAGTAATTCAACAAGGGAAAAGACTAATCTTTTCAACAAATGGGACAGGAACAACTGGAGCTCCAAATGCAAAGAAAGTATATCAACCCTTACCACATACCACATATAAAAATTGACTAAAAATGGATCACAGACCTAGCTACCAAAGATTATTTAAAAAGGGTGGCTCAGTTGGTTAAGCGTGGGACTCTTGATTTTGGCTCAGGTCACGATCTCAGGGTTGTGGAATCAAGCCTCACATTGGCTCCGTGTTTGGCACAGAGTCTGCTTGTCCCTCTCCCTCTGCTCCTCCCCCGGCTTGTGCTTTTTTAAATAAATAAATAAAATCTTAAAAAAAAAAAAAAAAGATTTTTAAAAAAGACACAACAGGGACCCCTGAATGTTTCAATCAGTTAAGTGTGTAACTTTTGACTTTGGCTCAGGGTTGTGAGATCGAGCCCCACACTTGGGATTCTCTCTCTCTCCCTCTCCTGGTGCCCCAGCCCCCACCCATTTGCAAATGTATGCTCTCCTCTCTCTCTCACTCAAAAAAAAAAAAAAAAGACAACAAGCTCCAAATGGAGTCACTTGTGCTTGACCCATGTCAACAAACCAAGACTTAATACTAACCTAACTGTAGTTTCATGTTCCTGGGAATGTAACTTTTAACTGATCCACAGGGAATTACCTGGTCAGGACTAATGAGATAAACCACCTGATAAACCCCTTCCATTTCCCTTAGAACTGTGACGTTGCCTGAAATGATGCATCCTTTACTAGTAGTAACTTCCTTTTCCTGTCCCCTTTCTGCCAAACAAAAAACAAAACGAAAACAAAAAAACCCCAAACTCAAAAAACAATAAAAATAAACAAACAAAAAAACCCCTTTCCATTTTGTACAGCTCTTCAGAACTCCTTTCTATTGCTAGATGGGATGCTGCTCAATTCATGAAACATTGAACAAAGCCAGTTTGATCTTCACATTAACTCAGTTAAATGTTTTTGTTTAACAAGATAAAACTATAAAACTTCAAAAAGAAATAGGAGACTATCAGTGACTTAGAGACAAAGAAGAGCATTACATAGTGATAAGGGGCTCGATACAACAAGAGGCTATAACACTTGTAAATACCTATGTACTCAACCTAGGAACACCTAAATACACAAAACAAATTTAATAGATATAAAGAGAAAAACTGACAATAGTAAAATAATATAATAATATTGGGAATATAATAATATTATATATTAATATATTATATATTATATTATATATTATAATTATATAATAATATATGTTAATATATTATATATAATATATAATATAATAATATTGGGAAACTTTAACACCCCACTTAAAGGACAAATCAGACAAAAGGAGACAATGGCTCTGAACAATATTAGACCACACAGGACTTAACAGATACATATGAACATTCCATCCAAAGACATCAAAATATACATTTTTTTCAAGTGCATATGGAATATTCTCCAGGCAAGATCACATGTTACGCCACAAAACATATCTCAATAAGTTTAGAAAGACTGAAATCATATCAAACATCTTTTCTGACAATGATATGAAACTTGAAATTAATTATCAGGAAAAAACTGGGAAAAAACACAAATACGTGGAGGGTAAATAACATACTACTAAAAAACCAATTTGTTAAATCAAAGAGGAAATAAAAAAACACATGGAGACAAATGAAAACATAAACACAATGAACCTATGGGAAGCAGCAAAAGCAGTTCTAAGAGGCAATTTTATAGCAATAAGGGCCTACCTCAAGAAACAAGAAAAATCTCAAAACAATATAGCCATAACACCTAAAGGAAACAAAGAGCAAACAAAGTTCGAAGTTAGTAGGGAGAAAAAATACAGATCAAAGTGGAAATACATGAAATGGAGACGAAGAAAACAGAGAAAAGGGACGCCTGTGTGGCTCAGTTGGTTAAGCAGCTGCCTTCAGCTCAGGTCATGATCCCAGCATCCTGGGATCGAGTCCCACATCGGTCTCCTTGCTCAGCGGGGAGCCTGCTTCTCCCTCTGCCTCTGCCTGCCACTCTGCCTGTGCTCACTCATGCTCGCTCGCTCTCTCTCTGACAAATTAAAAAAAAAAATCTAAAATAAAAAAAATTAAAAAAGAAAACAGAGAAAAGATTGATGAAACCATGAGGTGGTTCTTCAAAAAGAAAAAAACAAACTGCTAAAACTTTAGTCAGACTCACGAAGAAAAAAGAAAGAAGAATTAAATAAATAAAATCAGAAATGAAAGAGAAGTAACAACTGACACCACAAAAATAAAAAAGATTAAAAGCCACTACTACAAGAAATCATATGCAATAAGTTAGACAACCTGGAAGAAATGGATAAATTCCTAAAAACATACAAACTTCTAAAACAAAATCTGGAAGAAATAACAATCTGAACAGACTGATTCCTTGTAATGAAAATGAATCAGTAATCAAAACCCTTCCACCAACAAAAGTTCAGAACCAGATGGCTTCACAGGTGAATTCTACCAAACATTAATTTAAAAATTTTTTAAAAGTTCTATTTATTTAAGTAATCTCTATACCCAATGTGGGGTTTGAATTCATGACCCTAAGATCAAGAGTCGCATGTTCCACTGCCTGAGCCAACTAGGTACTCCTAATTCTACCAAACATTTAAAGAAGAGCTGATACCTTTTATTGTCAAACTATTCCAGAGAATCAAAGAGGAAGGAAAGCTTTCAAATTCATTCTATGAGGACAGCATTACCTTGATACCAAGTCCAGACAGAGACACTACAAAACAAGTAACTACAGATCCATACCCCTGATGAACACAGATGCAAAAATCCTCAACAAAATACTAGTAAACTGAATTAACAATATGTTAAAAGGATCATTCACCATGATGAAGTGAGATTTATTCCAGAAATGCAAGGATAGTTCAGTATCTGCAAATCGGTCAACATGATATATACCACACTAATAAAGGATAAAAACCACACGATCCTCTCAATAGAAAAATTTGTAGAAAAAGCATTTGACAAAATTCAGCCTCCATTCATGATAAAAACTCCCAACAAAGTGGGTTTAGAGAGAACATACCTCAACATAATAAAGGCCACAAACCCACAGCTAACATCATGCTCGATGGTGAAAAAACTGAAAGTTCTCAAACCAAGATCAAAAACAAGACAAAGATGCCCCAACTTTTTATTCAAGATCTCATTTATTTATTTGTCAGAGAGAGAGAGAGAGAGAGAGTACATGCACAAGAAGGGAGAGCAGTAAGTAGAGGGAGAAGCAGCCTCCCTGCTGAGCAGGGAGCCTGACGTGGGACTCAATCCCGGGACCCTGGGATCACGACCCAAGCTGAAGGCAGACACTCAACCAACTAAGCCGCCCAGGTGTCCCACCCCAGCTCTTATTCAACATGGTACTGGAAGTCCTAGCTTTAGCAATCAGACAAGAAAAGGAGATCAAAGGCATCCAAATTAGCAAGGAAGAAATAAAACATCATTATTTGCAGATGGCATGATACTATATATAGAAAACCCCCAAAGACTACAAAAAAAAAACCATTAGAAAAAATAAATTCAGTAAAGTTGTGAGACGCAAATTAATACAGGGAAATCTGTCACATTCTGTATACTAATAATGAAGAAGCCAAAAGAAAAATTAAGAAAACAATCCATTGGGGTGCTTGGGTGGCTCAGTCAGCTAAGCCTCTGCCTTCAGCTCAAGTTGTGATCCCAGGGGCCTGGGATCAGTCCTCATGTCAGGCTCCCTGCTCAGGAGGAGTCTGCTTCTCCCTCTGCCTCTGCTCCTGCTCTCTCTCTCCCTCTCAAATAAATGAATAAAATTTTAAAAAACCTCCACAAAAACACTAATTTGAAAATATATATCCACCTCCACGTTCACTGTATCATTATTTACAATAGCCAAGATACGGAAGTAACTTAAATGTCCATCAACAGATGAAAGGATAAAGAAGAGGCAGTGTATATATATACAATGGAATATTACTCAGCCATAAAAAAGAATGAAATCTTGCCATTTGTGACAACATGGATGGAGCCAGAGAGTAGAAAGCTAAACAAAATAAGTCAGAGAGAAACAAATATCATATTATTTCACTCATGTGGAATTTAAGAAACAAAAGAACCAAGGAGGAAAAAAAAGAGACAAACCAAGAAACAAACTCTTAACTACAGAGAACAAACTGATGGTCACCAAAGGGGAGATGAGTGGGGGATGGGGAGACATAGGGAATGGGGGTTAAGGAGTATACTTGCTGTGACAGGCACTGGGTATTATATGGAAGTGTTGAATCACTATTATTGTACATGTGAAACTAACCTAATACTGTACATTATTAATTACAGTATATAGTATGTACACTATATAGTATAGTATAGCATATGACAACAATTATGCTGGAATTAAAAACCTTAAAAAAAGAGATGTGATGAGCACACATGCACACACTCACATGCGCGCACACGTGTGTACGTGCATGTGAACACACATGCACTGGAATGTTACTCAGCCTTCAAAAAAGAATGAGATCCTGTCAGCTGCAACAACATGGATAACCTAGAGGGCATTATACTAAGTGAAGTCAGTCAGACAGAGGAAGACACAACTTGTATCACTTGTATATGGAATCTAAAAAACAAAAGAACCAACTAACCAACTAGAAACAGATCATACATATAAAGAACTAGTGGTTGCCAGAGGGCAGGGGCTTGGGGGAGAAGCAACATAGGTGAGAGGAGTAAGAGGTGAGAACTTCCAGTCGTAAACAAATAAGTCACGGAGATGAAAAGTGTCACACAAGGAACACAGTCAATAATACTGTAATAATGTTGTATGGGGACAGATGGTAACCACCCTTACCAAGGGGAGCACCGCATAACGGACAGAATTGTTGAATCACTATGTCATACACTGGAAACTAACAGAGCATTGCATGCAAACAAGACTTCAGAATAAAAATAAAATAAAGTTAACCATACACTTAACACACAGCCTAGCAATTTCATTCCTAGATATTCACCGAATAGAAATGGAAAACCTATGTCCACGAGAGGACGCAGACTCCAACGGTCCAGCAGCATGATTCATGACAGCCCCAAACCGGAAGCACCTGAATGACCACCACGCGGGAGACGGACTTCCGCACAATCTAATCCTGCTCCGTCCTAAGAAGGGACAAGCAACCGACACGCACCAGTCAGGACGGATCTCGGCAGCACCGTGTTAACTGGGAGACCCTGAATACGAAAGGCTGCAGCTGGACCCTTCGGCTGACATGACATTACAGAAAAACCAAAACTGTCGTGCTAGGAAGCGAACTGGCGGTTGCCAGGAGCTGGAGCATCAGGGCAGAAGCCAAGTCTAACGGGTCACACGAGAACGCCTCCAGGTGATGGAAACGTCCTACATGCTAACTGTGGTGCTCGTGACACTAATGTAGGTATTTGTCAGAATTCTTGTTTTGTATACCCAAATTTGGTGAGTTCTATTGTGTGTAAATGTACCCCAAAAAGTTTAAAAAAAAAGAAAAAATACTTTATTTCCACACCAGTGCCAAAGCCAGACGGCCCATCGCACAGGGATCTCCTGGCCACAGAGCTGGAAGAATTCACCATTTCAAGCCACTACCTGATGCCGCAAAACCCGTTCCAGATGGTGGCTCCTCGTGGAGCAGTGCCATGAACAGCTCACCAGCGGCAAAACCACTGTTCTTCCCACGACTGCCCGAGATGCGCTGCAAGAAGTAAGGACACAGAAAAGATTTTAACCTCTCAAGCATCCTATTACAAAATAATGGCAGATCTTCAACTTCACGTTAAACAAAATAAAGTGCAGACAGAAGGGACAGATCAAACAGGGCAGCCTGTCCCCAGGAATGTGGCTTTGACCTTTCGATGTACTATTCCCTTTCTATGTAATACTAAAGATACTGCTGGTTTTTGAGCGCCAGGCTCCATACAGTTGTATGTTTTTTTGTTTTGTCATTCCAAAAATATATACTGCACGTTTTGTAAGTTCTAAGCACTGTTCTCAAAACTTGGGACTAGAGTCATGAACAAAGCAGAAGTCCAGCTATCCTGAGCTTATGGTGCACGGGAAAAAGGATTATAGAAATATTACTTCGTTAAAGCCTCAGAATAAGGCAGCGAGAATTAATCTCTTCATTTTCCAAGTGAGGAACAAAGAAGGGAGGCTGGCAGACGTGGTTCGGCTAACACACCGAACCAGGGCCAGAGCACCTGCGTCCCTGTCTTGTTGCACAGGCCGGCTTCACTCACGGGCATACACCGCCTGCACATTTCTAAGGACACTAATATCAGGCTTTGAAATTTCAGTGTACTTTCTTGTTTCAGATCATCAGATTGTGACTATTTGTCACAAAAGGATATTATGCCCTGAAAAGAAGACTGAAGAAAAACTGTAAAAATTCACACTTGTCTTGAATCCTATACCCAAATATAGGAATAGCCTATTCCCAAGTTTAACCGGATACATACATCTGAGAATGATTTTTAGGTAAAAGAGATAAAAAGTTAAAGGAAAATGACCATTGTAATTTTTGGTTTTGAAAATGATGTGCATTCGTGTGGGGCTAGAAGTTGCCTACTTTACTGAGAAGTCAGGGGCAGAAAGGAACTCCTCCCGGCTCAGTCCATAGCTGGTGTCCCTCAGCCGCGCCTGCAGGAACACACTTACTCCCATCAGGTCTTGTTAAGTGTGGTTTACTCCGCCCACAACCCCAGTTGTAAGTAAAAAAACACGTTTTATGGGCAATGGGTATGTTAAGTTTAATAACTGGGTATCATTTTTCTTAAACATTTTATTTCTTTATTTTAGAGAGAGACAGAGCATGTGTGTGTGTGAGCAGGGGGAGGGGCAGAGGGAAACTTAAGCTGACTCTGTGCTCAGCACAGAGCCTGACGTGGGGCTCGATCTCATGACCCTGAGAGCATGACCTGAGCTGAAATCATGAGTTGGACGCTTAATCAACTGAGCCACCCAGGCATCCTGGGTATCAAATTTTAAAAGGCAGGGGGTGGAAACCCAGTTCACATAGAAAATGTGAAAGGCAGCACTTTGGGAACAAACCTCACAAAGTGTCCAAGAAACCAGGACACAGCAGATTCTTTAACTCCGGCTTTTGAAACGGAGCCAGGCAGATACAGTACGTATTTCTGGAACACAAAGCTGCATCAACCCCAGCCGTGCAGTCAACTATCCGCTAAGCCTTCAGTGTTGGGTCTCAGGGCAAGAACCTTAATTTTAACAAGGACCCACATTTATGTTCTCGCTCATGTGCTGGAGGTTAGTGTCACTTACATACTTTGCTTCCAGACAAATATCCCTTCTCGTCTGATCTGAAGATTCACAGAATCCGAGCATGTCTGCCTGCAGTAAGTTTAGCTGTAGTGGTGAGCTGCTCCTTGAGTTAACGCAGGGGTGCTCTCCACGCGGCATCTCCCATTTTCCCTCCACCCGCCTCCGGCTGGGGACAGAGGACAGTGGCTCCAGGTGTGGAGTGACTGCAGATAGTGAGGGCGGCGTTCCAGAAGAGCCCGCTGCTCCCAGGAAATCATATGGGCAGAAGGATGGTGACAGCAGGGGACAGCCAGGGGGATCAGGCAAGAAAATGGTCATCACAGTATCTAAAGAAGGAGAAGGGAGAGCAGGAAAAGTCTGCAAGTCATTCCATAAAGTGGCCTTAGGCAGCCGGTTGAGTGTGGTCAGGGACACTGCATGCTCTCTTCCCACAGAAGGCAGGGTTGGGACAAGGTAAGGACCCAGGTCGGGAGCCATCAGGGCAGCCAGGAAGGGAAGGCTGGAGGCCTGCGGAGCGGAGGCGAGGGAAGGGCCCCAGGGCTCCCTGTGCTGGCCGTCTCCTCCCAAGCAGAGACAGAAGGTGTCCGGGGCGTCCCTGCTGTCCCACCGCCCCGACGGCTTCTTCCGCCCGGGCTTCCCCTTCTTGCAGCCAGCTGACCCGGCCTGCTTGGAAGCCGAGTCTCCCGCAACCATAGAGAGGGAAGCATATTATCAAAAACTCAAACCAAAAAAGAAGACAGGAAGGCCACTGACAGGTAATTATAAGTAGATTAGGAAAGAAGAGACACTTGTCAACAGTAACTATGTCTTCTCCCACTACTCCTGAAAACATGAGCAAGATCCCAGATAAAAGCTGTTGTAAAATAGACTTATTTCAGTATCTCTCAATCACTTTCCTTAGAAAATCAGCTTCTCAGATCCAGGATCTAAGAAAGCTCTTCGATAACAAATTGCTAAGATGAATTTATTCCATCAACATCTTCCACTTTCTTAAAACTCCTATTCTTTACTCCACATCTCCCAGTACTTACACAAATTTATAAAATTGATAAATGAATATAGTTTTAAAAATACAACTACCTTGAACATACAAATGTTTAGCTTTGCTTCTGCTTTCGTTCTGAAGACAGGATCTGTACGGCGATGAGAGGATCTTTTCCCGGAATTTATCAACATAATTCTGTTCCTCCTTCTGGGTGTGCACTGACACAACAGCCTTCGTGAGCCCTATGTGCTTAAATTCTTCTGAGGGCAGTGGAGCTGGGGGGGTGTGTGCTGTCCAGGGCTCATAAGCAGGGGCGATATCCTCTACTGGAGTCACTTCTGCTGAGGTAAGACAGAGATGGTTTTTATTTTTTAGTTAACATATAATGTATTATTGGTTTCAGAGGTATAGGTCTGTGAGAATCAATCTTATATAATACCCAGTGCTCATTACATCACATGCCTTCCTGAATGCCCATCCCCCAGTTGCCCCATCCCTCCCTTTCCCTCCCCTGCAGCAACCCTCAGTTTGTTTCCTCTGATTAAGAGTCTCTTAGGGTTCGTCTCCCTCCCAGGTTTCACCTTGTTTTATTTTTTCCTTTCTTCCCCTATGAACCTCTGTTCTGTTTCTTAAATTCCACATATGAGTGAAAGCATGTGATAATTCTTTCTCAGATTGACTTATTTTGCTTAGCCTAATACCCTCTAGTTCCACCCATGTCATTGCAAATGGCAAGATTTCATTTTTGATGGCTGCATGATATTGCATTGTAGATACAGACCACATCTTCTTTATTCATTCGTGGACATCTGGGCTCTTTCCATATTTTGGCTATTGTGGACACTGCTTCTATAAACATTGGGGTGCAGGTCCCCTTTTGAGTCCCTACATCTATGTCTTTGGGGTAAGTACCCTGTAGTGCAATTGTTGAGTCGTAGGGTAGCTCTATTTTCAACTTTTTGAGAAACCGCCATACTGTTTTCCAGAGTGGCTGCGCCAGCTTGCATTCCTACCAACAGTGTGGCAGGGTTCCTCTTCCTCCACAACCTTGCCAACATCTGTCGTTTCCTGACTTGTTAATTTTAGCCATTCCGACTGGTGTGAGGTGGTGTCTCACTGTGGTTTTGATTTGTATTCCCCTAATGCAGAGCATTTCTTCATGTGTCTTTTGGCCATGTGGATGTCTTCTTTAGATAAAGGTCTGTTCCTATCTTCTGCCCATTTCTTGATTGGATTATTTGTTCTTTGGGTGTTGAGTTTGATAAGTTCTTTATATATAGATTTTGGATACCAGCCCTTTATCTGATATATCATTTGCAAATATCTTCTCCCATTCTGTCGGTTGTTTTTGAGTTTTGTCGACTGTTACCTTCACTGTGCAAAAGCTTTTTATCTTGAAGTCCCAATAGTTCATTTTTGCCTTTGTTTCTCTTACCTTTGGAGACCTGTCTAGCAAGAAATTGCTGTGGCCAAGGTCAGAGAGGCTGCTGTCTGTGTTCTCAAGGATTTTGATGGATTCCTGTCTCACACTTAGGTCTTTCATCCATTTTGAGTATTTTTTACGAATGGTGTAAGGAAATGGTCCATTTTCATTCTTCTGCATGTGGCTGTCCAATTTTCCCAACATCATTTGTTGAAGAGACTGTCTTTTTTCTATTGGACATTCTTTCCTGCTTTGTTGAAGATTAGTTGACCATAGAGTTGAGGGTCCATTTCTGGGTTCTCTATTCTGTTCCATTGATCTATGTGTCTGTTTTAGTACCAGTACCATACTGTCTCGATGATTACAGCTTTGTAATACAGCTTGAAGTCTGGAACTGTGATGTCACCAGGTTTGGTTTTTTTCAACATTCCTCTGGCTATTCGGGGTCTTTCTGGTTCTCATAAATTTTAGGATAATTTGTTCCATCTCTGTGAAAGAAGTTGATGGTATTTGAGAGGGATTGCACTGAATGTGTAGATTGCTCCAGGTAGCATAAAGATTTTAACAATAAGGATTCTTCCAATCCACGAGCATAGAACATTTTTCCATTTCTTTGTGTCTTCCTCAATTTCTTTCCTGAGTCTTCTATAGTTTTCTGAGTAGAAATCCTTTGCCTCTTTGGTGAGAGTTATTCCTAGGTTTCTAATGGTTTTGGGTACAATTGTAAATGGGAATGACTCCTTAATTTCTCTTTCTTCTGTCTCATTATTAGGGTATAGAAATGCATCTGATTTCTATGCATTCATTTTATATCCTGCCACTCTGCTAGTTCCTGTATGAGTTCTAGCAATTTGGGGTGGAGTCTTTTGGGTTTTCCACAGAGTACCATGTCATCGAAGAAGAGTGAGAGTTGACTTCTTCCTTGACAATTTGGATGCCTTTTCTTTTCTTTTGTTGTCTGATTGTTGTGACTAGGACTTCTAGTACTAGTGGTGATAGCAGCATCCCTGTGTTGTTCCTGACCTTAGGGGGAAATGAGAGCTTTTCTCCATTGAGAATGATATTCATCGTGGGCTTTTCATATATGGCTTTTATGATATTGAGGTATGCTCCCTCTATCCCTACACTGTGAAAAGTTTTAATCAAGAAAGGATGCTATAGTTTGTCAAACACCTTTTCTGCATCTATTGAGAGGATCATATGGTTCTTGTCCTTTCAGTTATTGATATAGTATATCATATTGACTGATTTGTGGTTGCTGAACTACCCTTGCAGCCCAGGAATAAATCCCACTTGGTCGTGGTGAATTATCCTTTTAATGTATTGTTGGAGCCAACTGGCAGTATCTTGGTGAGAATTTTTACATCCGTGCTCATCAAGGATATTGGTCTGTAATTCTCCTTTTTGATGGGGTTTTTGTCTGGTTTTGGGTTCAAGGTAATGCTGGCCTCATCAAATGAGTTTGGAAGTTTTCCTTCCATTTCTAATTTTTGAAACAGCTTCAGAAGAATAGGTATTAATTCGTTAAATGTTTGATAGAATTCCCCTGAGAAGCCATCTGGCCCTGGGCCCTTGTCTGTTGGGAGATTTTTGATGACTGCTTCAATTTCTTTGCTGGTTATGGGTCTGTTCAGGTTTTCAATTTTTCTTGTTTTAGTTTTGGTAGTTTATACATCTCTAGGAATGCATCCATTTCTTACAGAGTGCCTAATTTGTTGGCATATAGTTGCTCATAATATGTTCTTAAAATTGTTTGTATTTCTTTGATGTTGGTTGTGATCACTCCTCTTTCATTCGTGATCTTATTTATTTGGGTCCTTTCTCTTTTCTTTTTGATAAGCCTGACTGGAGGTTTATCGATCTTATTCTTTCAAAGAATCAGCTCCTACTTTCCTTGACCTGTTCTACTGTTCTCTTGGTTTCTCTTTCACTGATTTCTGCTCTAATCTTTATTATTTCTCTTCTGCTGAGTTTAGGCTTTATTTGCTGTCCTTTCTCCAGCAACTTTAGGTGTAGAGTTAGGTTGTGTATTTGAGGTATTTGAGGTATCTTGTTTCTTAAGAAAGGCTTGTAATGGCATACACTTCCCTCTTAGGACCACCTTTGTTGCATCCGAAAGATTTTGAACAGTTGTGTCTTCATTTTCATTTGTTTCCATGAATTTTTAAAAATTCTTCTTTAATTTCCTGGTTGACACATTCATTCTTTAGTAGGATGCTCTTTAGCCTCCATGTATTTGAGTTCTTTCCAAATTTCCTCTTGTAATTGAGTTCCAGTTTCAGCACTGTGGTCCAAAAATATGCAGGAAATGATCCCAATCTTTTGGTACCAGTTGAAGACCTGATTTGTGACCAAGTGCGTGATCTATTCTGGAATGTTCCATGTGCACTCGAGAAGAACGTATATTCTGTTGCTTTAGGATAGAATGTTCTGAATGTATCTGTGGAGTCCATCTGGTCCAGTGTGGCATTCAAAGCCCTTATTTCCTTGTTGATCTTTGACAGATTTCATTTTAATTGTTACCAATTATTTGCATTTATTTATTTTCACTAAATTTAACTTACTTTCAATAAATTCTTACAACCATTATTACAACAGCAGGCATATAAAAACTTCATCCTAGCAAATAAGTTGGTTTCCTTTTTCTGCTTTTCTTTATACTCTTTGTACACTTGTATATACATTTTACAGTTGTAATACTCAATATGTATATACATATTTATTAAAATCTTACTGTAAATATTTTAGCTTTGTAGATTTTTCCAAAATGTTTTTATCTTTGAATTAATTTTACAAATCTGTAATATATTCATGGGGTTCAAAAATCAACAAGCTTAGAAAAAGCAGTCATTAACTCCTCCCCACTCCTGCCTACTATATGCCTAGTTCTTTATTTTCCCCACAGAAAACCATTTCTTTTATATCTTTATCGGTCCACTTTCTTATGTACCTATAAAGAAGAATATAGATTTTTTACCCCAAAGGCATGTAATATGTACACTATCTATAGCGGTATCTTTTTTCACTTAATGCTATCCCTTCTGCCAGTTCAATGACAGCTATCTTACACTTTTTCTGCATCATAGTCTTCCATTTCTTGTGTATACCACAATTTATTAAAGTAAACACCTGTAGACAGACTTTGAGTTGCTTCTAGATATTACTTCTCCCAAGTACGAGAGACTTCATGGTGGACACAGTAGGCTTCCCCACAACATCCCTTCCACCTCTCCCCTCTGTGCAGAATCCAGGCAGCATGGATGTGCCTGGCCCCACTCCACTTCCAGAAGTGCACTCTGATTCATTTAAATCAACACAGCACAGCCAAGATGGAGTAACAGGGACTGGATTTACCCTCCTGCCTGAACCAACTAAGAAAATGGACAAAACATGTGAACCAGTAAGTTCCAAGACACTGAACATCAGTGCATGAAGGAGAGTGACCCCTGAGGGAGGGAAAAAAAAGTGTTGAGCCCTGGGGCTGCCCCAGCCTACTGCCTTGAGAGTTTCTGAGATACAGGGTGGGGAAACCAGGTGAAGCCTGTGAACCCCCTTAGTTGACGAGACAAAGCCAAGAGTCCGGTTGGTGGCTAGAGTTTGCAGGGAAGAGTACTGGGGAGGAGAATTGCAGACAGCGGGCTCCACATAGCCAGACAGAACCCCCTGGTGTATTCACCAGTGTACTCATGGGAGAAGGAACAATCACCGAAGCTCACACTATATGGAGAATAGCATGGGCTCCCCTCAGCCAGACTGAAAATCTCCTAACTCATGGGGCACTAAGTATAGTACTCCAAAGGACCTTGCCTCGGTAGCAGACAATAATTAGCCACAGACTACACACTGCTCTAACAAATCTGAAAAGCAAAACCTGAAAGGAATGATTTGTTTCTAAGTAACTTAGCTGGGTCCCAGAAT